AGTTCCACAAAGTTATTTAACAACCATGTTTTGATCTATTTCTAGGTTCACAGGGAAATACGAAACAGACATATGTCTCACGTATTTGCACATTTGAAGGAAACAGCAAACCAAATTCAGACACGATACAATGTAGGTACTTGTTCATCTCAACACATTAAATAATCATGAACATATTAACTTTACTGTAGTCTGTTTTTTACAAGAACTGATGCATTGAATTTTTTAACCCAGCTTGTAACTTTTCTAAAAACATAATAATAATAGACTATTCATTAAAAAAAATAATAATAATAAGATATCTATTAATAAATTATATTTAATATTAGATTCATTATTAAGAATATTGTAGTATTTGGTTTATTTAATACTAAAATTCCATGTTGCTTTCTTTATGTATAAGTTAGTGTTCTATTGTGTAGTTATTAATAGACAGATTTTTATTGTTTGGTTTTATTTAACAATATAAATGTTTTTCTATTGTTTGGTTTTATTTAACAATATAAATGTTTTTCTATTGTGTAGTTATTAATAGACAGATTTTTATTGTTTGGTTTTATTTAACAATATAAATGTTCTTCTGTTGTTTAGTTATTAATAGACAGATTTTTATTGTTTGGTTTTATTTAACAATATAAATGTTCTTCTGTTGTTTAGTTATTAATAGACAGATTTTTATTGTTTGGTTTTATTTAACAATATAAATGTTCTTCTGTTGTTTAGTTATTAATAGACAGATTTTTATTGTTGGGTTTTATTTAACAATATAAATGTTCTTCTGTTGTTTAGTTATTAATAGACAGATTTTTATTGTTTGGTTTTATTTAACAATATAAATATTCTATTCCTTCATTTTGTTACTAAAATAGCAATATTTAACTTTTCTCTATTTTTAACAGAAAAGACATGGGATGAGTTTAGGTGATATGAAGAATTTTGTAAAAAATGAACTTCAGGAACTTCAGCAGCAGCACAAGTCTTTAGGACTACGTAAGTTTACAGTAATAGATTAATAATATCTATTATACCAGTAGTTCAAAATAAGTAACAGTTATTAATATTTGTATATAATTAGTTTTAGTACTTGAATTTTAAGTATTTATACTCTGTGGGAGCTCTATAATTAACAAAGTACACTTTACTAGTTCTTGTATATAATTATTCTATAAATATACTTAACAAAGTACACTGTACTGGTTCTTGTATATAATTATTCTATAAATATACTTAACAAAGTACACTGTACTGGTTCTTGTATATAATTATTCTATAAATATACTTAACAAAGTACACTGTACTGGTTCTTGTATATAATTATTTTATAAATGTAATTAACAAAGTGCACTATGTACTGGTTGTATATAATTATTTTATAAATATACTTAACAAAGTACACTGTATTGGTTCTTGTATATAATTATTTTATAAATGATACTTAACAAAGTACACTGTATTGGTTCTTGTATATAATTATTTTATAAATATACTTAACAAAGTACACTGTACTGGTTCTTGTATATAATTATTCTATGAATATACTTAACAAAGTACACTGTACTGGTTCTTGTATATAATTATTTTATAAATATACTTAACAAACTACACTGTACTGGTTCTTGTATATAATTATTCTATAAATATACTTAACAAAGTACACCGTACTGGTTCTTGTATATAATTATTTTATAAATATAATTAACAAAGTGCACTATGTACTGGTTCTTGTATATAATTATTCTATAAATACACTTAACAAAGTGCACTATGTACTGGTTCTTGTATATAATTATTCTATAAATACACTTAACAAAGTACACTGTACTGGTTCTTGTATATAATTATTCTATAAATACACTTAACAAAGTACACTGTACTGGTTCTTGTATATAATTATTCTATAAATACACTTAACAAAGTACACTGTACTGGTTCTTGTATATAATTATATAATGGATAACACAGAGTGAATCAGTATAAATAATTTGACTGTACCACTTGTTGATGGATAACACAGAGTGAATCAGTATAAATAGTTTTTCTGTACCGCTTGTTGATGCATTATAAGCCTTGTTGTTTAATGATGTGTAATATGTTTAAATTATAAGCCTTGATACCAATGATGATTAGATATTTTAATATTTATATATGATGTAAATTTGTAAGATCTTTATGTTGCAGAGTTCTTAGAGTTGTGTAAATGGTACACATTGTATGTCTACTTTTTGCTTTTCTAAAACACTGCTGACAAGCATTGCTAATTTTGAAATGATTTATTGTGTTTTAATGTTTCTTTTCCAAAACACTGCTGACAAGCTTTGCTACTTTTGAAATGACTGATTGTGCTTTAATGTTTCTTTTTCAAAACACTGCTGACAAGCTTTGCTACTTTTGAAGTGATTTATTGTGTTTTAATGTTTCTTTTTCAAAACACTGCTGACAAGCTTTGCTGCTTTTGATATGATTTATTGTGTTTTAATGTTTCTTTTTCAAAACACTGCTGACAAGCTTTGCTGCTTTTGATATGATTTATCGTGTTTTAATGTTTCTTTTTCAAAACACTGCTGACAAGCTTTGCTGCTTTTGATATGATTTATCGTGTTTTAATGTTTCTTTTCAAAACACTGCTGACAAGCTTTGCTGCTTTTGAAATGATTCATTGTGTTTTAATGTTTCTTTT